TGTGTGTGTGTGTGTGTCATGCCATTAGCTATGGGCAAGTACAACATGTAGTTGTAGGCGAAAAGGGGGGAAGGGGTGGGGACTACCTCCTGAGCCCATCTTTGGCATCAAGGGCTTAACAAGGACAGGTTCAAAGGTCGCAGCGAGTGGTGTGTTTCTGGCCACCGCCCCTCCTTTAGGGCTAAGGACCACATCTGTGTGACAGCTTCATGTGTGGAACAGGCCTCGCTGTCAGACGATGTCACACGTTCCCGTACAATGGGCCTCTGTGCCCAGCAGAACAATGGAGGCCAAAGAACAGGATATAGAAATGTCTCAGAATGAACAATGTGGTGTGTTCTCTGCATGAAAAAATAAAGGAAACAAGCAATTTCACTAGAGCATTTAGCAAAATGGCTGTTGAAATATTTACAAAGACTGCCCTCCCTCCTGATCTGGTCAGCTAAAAATATGAAACATTAATTGTGCAAGGTGACATATGCCCCTTATGGAAACATTAAACCAGCCAAAGGTAACAAACGATAGCAACATGTGAAAAGAATCTGTTTGTTTTCAGTGAGCAGAGAAAAAAAGCAGCAGAGGCTTTTCCTCTCCTTCACAAAAGGTTAAGGAGCCATAATTGTACCCTCATTACCTCAAGTTAATGCAGTTCGACTAAACACTGTACAACAGGCAGGACCAAACAGGACTTCACAGTACCGCTGCATTGCACAATGGCATTGACATACAAAGACAAGCTGTCGGTAATAACTCCTAATAGTCCTATTAAAGTTCCTTTGACCTCACAAAGCAATTACCAATATTTTCCCATCTTAACCAGAGCCAGAATCTCGCTGTTTTTAATCAGCAGTTAGAAGAGGCTTTATGGCTTTGGACACAAAGATTTTTCACCAAAATCTGAACAACAGATGACCCCCAACTTACTTCAAAATAAAGCAGCTGCCTTCACCAGCTGCTGATGGATGGCGTATGCAGTGTCTAGGGTGACCTGGTCATAGCTGTGACAGAATTCACCACACATGGATTATTCTTCGTGTTACAGAAGGTCTTTTATCCCTCAT